TGGTGGTGGGTGAGCAGAGCCAGGCCTAAAGTGTATAAATAAAATAAAAGAATGTAATGTAAAAACAGCTAAAGGAGGGTAGCGGCTGTCAACAAGCCTTATATGATCTGGGGGTGAAGGTTCTCTTTAAGAAACAATTATATTCCCATTAGTTCATTGATACCAATAATTACCATTTTGTTTTATTAACATGATCTGTTTTATTCTTTATGTTTTCTGTTGATTGGTATAAAAATGAAATTTTCTATCCATGTGAATCCCCAACAGCACAATACAAACACAACAGAAAACAACAGCGATGCACATATTTTATGGGCCACTTCAACATTAATATAAGAAGGGGAATTGAAAAGGATGAGCACAGTGACATGTCAGTTAACATGAGTGCTTTTTAAAAATAATCATTTTTGTCTAAACATCCAGAAAAAATTGCTCCGCTTTAGCTTTTCACTTCTGACAACAGATGGTGTACAATTGATTTTTCATACCCCAAAGGAAAAATCAGCATGAGCAATATCCACAGCTTACACCAGGAGCTATTTATAAAGATGAAGGTGGGAGAAAATCAGCAAATTAAAGGCACATGATGAGTGTTGATGAAGGAGATAATAATTGTTCCTTTGTTTTATTTTTCTGTAAGTATAAGTATTTATCATTTAATTTTATTTAATTATATGCATTGAACTCTGATGAACTTCATAGCAATTTACAGAGCACATGGAACCACACACACCAGTGCTTGACCTCATAGAAGTTTGTACTGTATACTAGACATTCTCAACTAGGGTCCCAACAGAGGTCACCAGGGGTTCCTTGAGCAGTGTGCCATGGCCTAATTTATCTCCCACCTACAATGGCTGCCGATACAAGGAGGCAATTTTCCACTAAACTCCAATGTAAGAAAGGAGTCACTTCTAGGCTGACATCTAATGTAAGGGGACACTACAATTTCACTGCCTGCACTTTCTTTCAGTTCATATTCATCATTTCAAAATATTGGCTGAAAATAATTTACTCATACACAGAACATAGATGTAAAGAAATTCTACCATGGGTATCAAGTGTGGTATAAAACACATAATTTACAGTATCTTCCTTTTTTACTCTCTACTGTACCACGAGCTGCAGGTATATACATTTTTTAGAAGGGTTTCCTGAGACCTGAAAATTATTTCTTAGTTTCTCAAATTGGTTCAGACTTGTGTTGAAACACGCTTGAGCTCATCCCTAGTGGCTAGTGAGAAATATTTTCAAACTTCAAAGAAATTTGGATGCTGAACCCCATCAAAATCAATGGGAGTTGAATCTATCAAATATAAAAATGCTAATTTTTTTGGACTAATAGGCAACAATAGCATGAGGGGCAGTCTCTGCCCTAGGGAACACGTACCTATGCAAAACCAATTTTTAAAAATTCTATTTGTTCTAGAGTAGTGATTTTTTTAAAGCACTGAAATGTACAAAAGGAAAAAAAAAGTGTTTTAAACTGCTGGCAAACTACATTTCCCTGCTGTCTTCTTAAAAAAAAAAAATATGATAGACAGGCCCCTCCAGAGGTCCTCCAAAATAAATAGGAGACCCTTAAGGGTCTGCCTTTAATAAGTAACTCAAAGGCAGCTAGAATCTTCAGGGATCTATCTATACATATACATTTTCACACAAGATCACCATAACTTTCACACATTTTGTACAAGTCAATTAGAAAAACATTTACGGTAAATCTTTCTCGGGCAAATTTTATTTCCTCTGTAGAACGCCAATTAGTTTCAAATGTGTTTTATATAAAATGAATTGTAAAATTGATGTATTCTTTAAATTTGTACACAATTTCAGAAAGCCACTAATTAGATGGAAAATTATTAAAATGCAAATAGGAAGGCAAGAAGTGATATAATCCAGCTCACAATTTCTTATCATGTTATCCTATAGTACTGGGCAGTAATTTTCTAAAGACTACATGTCATGTGCCTAATTTTTTGAGCAGGTATGGAATATTAAACATGAATACTTGTGATAAGTAGCTCTTACATAAGAAATCACTGTTTGCTTGAAGCCCAATTTCACCAATTCCAACTAACTTTTTTTTTTTTTTTAATAGAGTTTTATTAAGTTAAATATTTGTTGCTGTCCATGCCTCTTTTCTGGCAATGTCACCTTACGTTTTTATCAGAAAGCCTGTGACAACTGGACAAGAAAAGATGGTAGAAGTCAGGGCCAAAACTAGGGGAGGCATGTGCCCTGCACACCACAATGGGAGGGGCGCTACCATTGACAGAAGTATTGACAGCAATATGCGGAGCAAGGAGGAGTGATGGGAGCAAGGAGGAGAGAGCAAGTGATGGGAGCAAGGTGGAGAGAGCCGGGAGCTGGGGGCGGACTGTGTTCTCTCTCCCCCTTCTCCTTCCTGCTAATACAGTGCTCCTGCTGCCTGTACTGTTCTCCCATTGAGTGGCAAATGAGAACTTCATCTCCCAGCTGCTCTTCGGATCCAGAAGATGCAGTGCATCAGTGTGCTCAGTGCAACCTTCCCGGAAACTTTGTGCATGCATGAGGAAGGAACAAGTTAGGTAAGCCCTTCCCTGGACAGCACAACTCGTCTTCACTAAATGTAGGACAATCCTAGCAATCACACTGATGTAAGGGAGGGGGCACATTGATGCAAGGGGGATACTCTGATGTAAGGGGATACTCTGATGTAAGGTAAGGTGCTGTACATAGCTTCTTGAAAACATCACATCCCCTTTCCTTAGTACTCTCAAAAGCCTTCAGTACTGATGCAACCAGTAGGCTCATTCCCAGAAGAAGTTATGCAAATATCAATATGCCTTTATGGGTGGGTGTCAGTCTGGAGGCATGGATATGCCTAGGCCATGGATATGCCATTTAAATGCAGATTGTGACAAACCTAACCGGGACAGGGGCTTTTGGATGGGACTGCAGGCTAGCCTCTTGCCTACTGACCATGGCCCTGGCATCTGAGGGGGCTCTATTCTTTGGAAATGTGTGCCTGGGAGGGACCTTTGGAGTAGTTTACTTCGGATTCAAGTCCATGTCTCCCCAAAACACACAGACTCTGAGAACTGCAGAACCAGAATAGAGATTTGGGGTCTCTGTGCCCAAACCAGGATTGATTGCTTCAACCCCCCCCCTTCCTAGATTCAGAGACTCTAAGAAGATGTTGATATAATCAGCTCAAAACAACCTGATGCTGAGGACTCTGGCTGTAATCTATTTATTAAGGTGTTATGTGTTTTCTATCTTTATACCATTGTGTGCCTCCTAGGAGTGCAGTCCCATTGTTAATTAAGTTAATTGAGTCTCCTTTTGTCTCTGTCTGCTAGTCCTCCTGGAGATTGATTAGTATTATGTCCACTTTACCTTGTTACCAAACCATTGTGGAATGTTTATCCCAATGTATAATATTTGTTTTTATTGTTCATGTGGGGACTGCCCCTATTCCTAAAGTGTATAAAAATCGGTATATCTGTTCAAGGAGTTCCAGTTGCAACTGAGCTAGTGCTGTCTAGTTCTTGGGTGCAATGCCTAGCGATAATACCTTGGTCCTATGTCCTAACGAAGAGGAAGCAGTTCTCTGACGGAATCACCCAATCGGGTCGACAGGCATTCCATCACACAGATTGTGTCTTAGGTAGTGCCCCCATGATATCCTGAGCTTCCATGATTGAAAAAAGGGATAGTTGATGCTGATTGTCCTTCATCCAGGAATTAAAGCAGGCTGTATCGGAATTTGGTCTGCTATCAGCCTCTTGCAGTGTCTGTACAACGGATTTCAGACTGGGGGGGGGGGGGGGGGGGGAGCAGCACATGGAACCAATTAGTTTTTGGTTGGGGTGCTTAAATGCTAACAAAAACATGTTGATGGGGGGAGAGAGTATCAGAGAAATCATCTCATCAGTGTGCTGGTGCTCCTTTCCCTGCCCAGTTTTATTTTGGGGGAGGGGCTGGAACTTTAAGTGTTACTTGACTGCAGTAGAAACAAATAGCTTTCCTGACAGACAAAGTCAAACAAGGCTGTGCAACAGAGCAGTGTAAATCCCAAGACTGGATATACAGAAGTACAATGTTTTTTACTGCGTAAAATAGCTCCTTTATACAGTATGTATTTCATCTGTATATTAAAGAAAAACTCTATTTTTGCTGAGAAAAAAAAAATTACCTTTGTATGATCTATGTACATTGCAAGGATTTTTACAAACTTTGTTGCAGATTCCTACCTGTTTCTGTTCTGAATGAATAGCTTTTTTTAGATCATGTTTTGTACAGATAATTCTGAATGGGAGTGACTAATTCATTATAAGCAGCTAAAGCGCTGTCAGTATTGATGAGTGTTGCAGATGAGAAAAGCTGCAGTGTATGCATCCCTTTAGAAGTCATTAACCCTTGGAGTATCTAATCAAAAATGAAATTTTTTTTGCAGGGGATGCCTAAAACCTACGTAGGGATCTATTGCCCTCTACTGTCAGCTGCTAATATCACAGTGTTATGTATTATTATGCATTAGCACTTCCTGTCTCTTGGTGGCTGGTTTTGAAAAAAAGGAGGAAGTGGAGAGAGAGAGAGTAAATCTCAGCCACATATCCTGTCCATGCTGCTAAATGCAGACCAGAAGAGACTATTCGGCAAGTATTCCTATGTTATAATAGTTTAACTGAAGCTGCCTAGAGCTTCTTGAGTGAACATCTGAATTCTTATGATAGACAGAGTATCTCTGTCCTGTTGCTATTGCTCTTGTTAAATGCTCAGTGCCAGAGAGCTAGGTCTATGCTACTACATGTATGTAGTGGTCACTTTCCAGTATATTAGTAGGTGATATACAACTTGCAGACATCTCCAGTGCTCAGAGTTCTGCCATAAAACCCAATATAAGGTGGATCATTAGAAAAAATCCCTTCAGTATTCTTCACTGATGCAGTCCTCTTCATTTAACTAATTACTGGAAAGCTTCAGCAAAGATTTGTCAGTACACCTCAACAATCCTAGGACAGCCGGCTTCACTTCGTCATCCTTGTGTTCACAAAAAGATTTGTCTCTTGTGCAATTTCACTGCAGGTTATACATCGATTATCCAGGATCAGGTGTTCCATGTAGAGATGAGCAAATCAAACCAGGCGAACCGGAATTCGATACGAATTTCAGGAAAAATTCGATTCGCGGCGAATCCGAATATTTGCCTACTTCGGGTGCGCGAATCGGATTTTTCCCGATCAGCCGGCAAAAGTGTCCCTGCAGAGAGCTCCGCTATTTCTGACATTTCTCTGACAGTTCCTTCACATGTTCAGCGGTTGAAACATTATCTATTAGTTTCCATTTAGGATACAGATGTTTCAACCGCTGTACATGTGAAGGAGCTGTCAGAGAACTGTCAGAAATAGAGGAACTCTGCACATACACTTTTTGCCGGTTTGGAATTCTTATTTTCATCCTACTTCATCTTCTTCTTCATCCTCATCCTCATCCTCAGAAGAAGAAGAAGAAGAGGATGAGGATGAAGAAGAAGAAGAAGAAGAAGAAGAAGTAGGATGAAAATAAGAATAATTCCAAGCCGGCAAAAAGTGTATCTGCAGAGCTCCTCTATTCTGCAGATACACTTAGAGGAGCTCTGCAGATACACTTTTTGCCGGCTTGGAATTAATCTTATTTTCATCCTACTATGTTTCAACCGCTGTATGGAGTGAATGTCCCAGAACTGTCAGAAATAGGCTATTTCTGACAGTTCTGTGACATTCCCTCCATACAGCGGTTGAAACCGCTGTATGGAGTGAATGTCACAGAACTGTCAGAAATAGACAGAAACTGTCACAGAACTGTCCTTCTTCTCATCCTTCTCCTTCTTCTCATCCTTCTTCTCATCCTTCTCCTTCTTCTCATCCTTCTCCTTCTTCTCATCCTTCTCCTTCTCCTTCTTCTCATCCTTCTCCTTCTTCTCATCCTTCTCCTTCTTCTCATCCTTCTCCTTCTCCTTCTTCTCATCCTTCTCCTTCTCCTTCTTCTCATCCTTCTCCTTCTCCATCTTCTCATCCTTCTCCTTCTCCTTCTTCTCATCCTTCTCCTTCTCCTTCTCCTTCTTCTCATCCTTCTCCTTCTTCTCATCCTTCTCCTTCTTCTCATCCTTCTCCTTCTTCTCATCCTTCTCCTTCTTCTCATCCCTCTTCTCATCCTTCTCCTTCTTCTCATCCTTCTTCTCATCCTTCTCCTTCTTCTCATCCTTCTCCTTCTTCTCATCCTTCTTCTCATCCTTCTCCTTCTTCTCATCCTTCTTCTCATCCTTCTCCTTCTTCTCATCCTTCTTCTCATCCTTCTTCTCATCCTTCTCCTTCTTCTCATCCTTCTTCTCATCCTTCTCCTTCTTCTCATCCTTCTCCTTCTTCTCATCCTTCTTCTCATCCTTCTCTCCTTCTTCTTCTCATCCTTCTCCTTCTTCTCATCCTTCTCCTTCTTCTCATCCTTCTCCTTCTCCTTCTTCTCATCCTTCTCCTTCTCCTTCTTCTCATCCTTCTCCTTCTTCTCATCCTTCTCCATCTTTTCATCCTTCTCCTTCTCCTTCTTCTCATCCTTCTCCTTCTCCTTCTCCTTCTTCTCATCCTTCTCCTTCTTCTCATCCTTCTTCTCATCCTTCTCCTTCTTCTCATCCTTCTCCTTCTTCTCATCCTTCTTCTTCTTCTCATCCTTCTTCTTCTCATCCTTCTCCTTCTTCTCATCCTTCTTCTCATCCTTCTCCTTCTTCTCATCCTTCTTCTCATCCTTCTTCTCATCCTTCTCCTTCTTCTCATCCTTCTCCTTCTTGTCATCCTTCCCTTCTCCTTCTCCTTCTTTCTCCATCCTTCTTCTCTTCTCCTTCTTCTCATCCTTCTCCTTCTCCTTCTTCTCATCCTTCTCCTTCTTCTCATCCTTCTTCTCATCCTTCTCCTTCTTCTCATCCTTCTTCTCATCCTTCTTCTCATCCTTCTCCTTCTTCTGATCCTTCTCCTTCTTCTCATCCTTCTCTTTCTTCTCATCCTTCTCCTTCTCCTTCTTCTCATCCTTCTCCTTCTTCTCATCCTTCTCCTTCTCCTTCTTCTCATCCTTCTCCTTCTCCATCTTCTCATCCTTCTCCTTCTCCTTCTTCTCATCCTTCTCCTTCTCCTTCTCCTTCTCCTTCTTCTCATCCTTCTCCTTCTTCTCATCCTTCTCCTTCTTCTCATCCTTCTCCTTCTCCTTCTTCTCATCCTTCTCCTTCTCCTTCTTCTCATCCTTCTCCTTCTCCTTCTCCTTCCTCATCTCCAGGGCATTTAAATTAAAGGTACAGTGTTCTGCACTAATTTAAAGGCTCTCTGAAGCCTAGAAACCCTTTTTATAAGTTAACTTCGTAGCGAATAAATTTGCATCGAATCGAATTTCTTCCTGAAATTCGCCGAATCAGCCGAATCGAATTTTTGAATACTTCGCTCATCTCTAGTTCCATGCACTGAATGTTCACAGGAATGACTGCTGTGGGCTGGGAACCACCACGGCTGGGATCGTCACTGTACGGCCATTTTTGAAACATTTACACCTTTCAAATGTCTTACTGAGGCTGAGTGTCTCATCACCGTACTGTGCATGATGTCTTCTGTAGATATCTACGGGTTTTACGCCTTTGTTCACAAGAAACTTCAACACCACACGCTGTTCTATGCACGCACTAACACAGTTGTCTGCCATCTTGATTAAAGTGTTACTAAAAACCCACAACAGTAAAATCAGTCTGTATACTGTATGCAGTAAATCATGTTTGTTATACTCACTGTGGAACCGAAGGGGTTAATCCTCCGCCTTGAGCAAAAAGGCTGTTTGATCCTGACTTCTCTGATCCTCCCCTTCTCCTACTGTCCCCAACCCACCTGCTGACAGAACAGAGCCATGGGGGCAAGCTGAAGATGCTCAGTTTAGTGTGTATTGCTAGAGAGTTTTTTTCTTTGGGAAGGCGCATGTGATCAGCACAGGGCCAATCAGCACTGTCCAGAGAGAGGGTAGGGGGTATGCAGCCTCATAGGACAAAAAGGGGTGAATGAAAACTCCTACTACAATTTTAACCAGTGCTCTGCTGGACACTGATAGAAGTCACAAGACTGCTATATACTGCTGATGAGAAAAGGTATTTAGGAGATTATATTTACTAATATAATTGCATTTCCATGATTGTGTGTACTGTGGGAGACCAGATATAGTGAATGCAGGGTCCGGGGTTTAGTAACACTTTATTGGTCCCTGGAGTGGCCCACGACATTTGTGCTGTCTATCAGTAATAGGACACACTTGCCACTCACAAACTGTGTGTTGTACTGTGCTATGCTAGCATCCCTTTTTATACCTGTAAAATAAAAAGTCCCGGTTTGATTTGAACACACACACACATATATATATATATATATATATATATATATATATATATATTCTATCTATTTTTTCCATGAAAGTGGTGTTAACCTTTAAGCTTTTGTTTCTGGAGTTTAAAAACTTTAAAATGGGAAACCCCTATATGAACTAAGCAAATTCTGAGCTGAGTTTCAGCAAACATGACTCACTGTTTTCTTTTTAATGAATTTCAATGAAGATAGGACTCCTTGGAGTATTGTATAGTTTGAGTAATTTTACTCCAATGGGTCTGAATGTCTCCACCCATAATTAAAAGCTTTTGTAACAATAGAAAACCAGTTATTGAGTTTTTTTTTTGCATGTCCAATGTGCAGAGCCAACAATTCTTTGAAAATGCAGAGATGCCCAGAGGCTGTACTGTTGTATGTAAACAGAAGTGAGTAGGGACCCTGGTAACATTTAGCACCCTATCTATGATCAAAGCTCAGGAGGTGCTGTCTAGACAGCCAAGGTGTGGACTGGCAAATGGATTTTATTAAGAGTCCTGTGCACTGGTGCCATTGTTTACTGAGGCTCTTCTTCAGACTCGGCTATGATTGATGTCCACCACGGTTGCCCAAGTGCCTGTGGCAAGAGTTTAATTCTTCCAGGGCCTTTCTTGTTCTGACAAGGTATGGTCCTTGCCTGTGACATGAGCTGGAAGTGACACGTTCATAGACTTACAGTGGTCTTTGAAGAGTATACTTTACACTTCAATGGCTGCCGTCTGAATGTCGAGGTTCAAAATTAAATATATGCTTAAGTGTTCTGGGATATTATTTCATTGCAAGTTTAAGGTATCCTATAACAAAAGTATATAATTTTTTTTTCTGCAGTTTCAGATTCCTTTTCTGTGAAGTTAATTACATTGTGCTGTCTTATTTTTCATGTTAATGTTATGTAAATATAGCTGCTGGTGTGTGATATTCTACAATTATTTAAAAAAAAAAAGTATGTACTGTACTTTTTAAAGGGAACACATAGTGGCTTTGTACATATTTCCCTTATTTATTATAGTCAAGATTTGCAAACTTATTTTTTTTTAAGTCAGGCAAGTGTGAAATTACATTGATAATATGCAGTCTACTATCCAGCCAGCAGATGAAGCTGTACTCCTTCAAAGTCTTATAGTGATTTTTGGGACCAGGAGTACTGTAAGTTCAAGTTATTTGATGATGTCTTAGAAATGTTATAACTAGGCAACTCCTATCCTAATATTGTCAGTGGTTCCAAATTAAAAGTAACTACTGCAGTAGGGAACAGACACAAAAAGATACACTCAGCATCTTTCCAAATACCGTATTTTTCCCCCCAAAAAAATTAGGCAAAATGTCTGTGCGTCTTATGGAGTGAATATGGAGCGGCCTGCCCGGTATTCCTGCCGTCGCCATGTTAGAATACCGGGCCGGCCACTTGGCTCTTCTGTGCTCCTCGGTCCTACCTGTTCCTCGGTCCAGGGGTGTCCTCACCGTCTTCTCTCCCTGGCGCCGGTATCTTTAGTGTGGGCACACGGCTGTGACAGCTTGCGGCTTCACAGCCAGGTGCCGACTGTGCATGCGCAAGAAGTCCTGCACTTTTTGAATGATCTGGCAGTCTTCTGGAACCTGTCACGTGTGTGCCAGAAGATGGGGAGGGAGAACAACTCCGCGGAAGTGGGAACTGGCACCTGTCAAATTCGGGGACCTGCCCCCCTCTTCTGCTCCCTAAAGGTCTGTGGTCTCTGGTCATCTCCTGTACTATGTCCGCAGTCTCTGGTCATCTCCTGTACTGTGTCCGCAGTTTCTGGTCATCTCCTGTACTATATCTGCAGTCTCTGGTCATCCCCTGTACTGTGTCCGCAGTCTCTGGTCCATCTCCTGTACTGTGTCTGCAGTCTCTGGTCATCTCCTGTACTATGTCCGCAGTCTCTGGTCATCTCCTGTACTATGCCTGCAGTCCCTGGTCATCCCTGTACTGTGTCTGCAGTCTCTGGTCATCTCCTGTACTGTATCCGCAGTCTCTGGTCATCTCCTGCACTATGTCCGCAGTCTCTGGTCATCTCCTGTACTATGTCCGCAGTTTTTGGTCATCTCCTGTACTATGTCTGCAGTCTCTGGTCATCTCCTGTACTATGTCCGCAGTCTCTGGTCATCTCCTGTGCTATGTCCGCAGTCTCTGGTCATCTCCTGTACTATGTCCGCAGTCTCTGGTCATTTCCTGTAGTATGTCCGCAGTCTCTGGTCATCTCCTGTAATACAGTGAAGGAAATAAGTATTTGATCCCCTGCTGATTTTGAATGTTTGCCCACTCACAAAGAAATGATCCAACTAAAAATGGAACGGTAGGTGTATTGTAACACTGAGGGACAGAATAGAACAAAAAATTCAAAAGAAATGCATGTCTAACAAATTATGCACTGATTTGCATGTTCATGAGGGAAATAAGTATTTGATCCCCTATCATTCAGCAGGATCTGTGGCTACCAGGTGTCTTTCATACAGGTAACAAGCTGAGATTAGAAGCAGTCTCTTAAAGGGAGTGCTGCTAATTTCATGTTTTACCTGTATAAAAGACACCTGTCCACAGGAGCAATCAAACAATCAGATTCCAAACTCTCCACCATGGCAAAGACCAAAGAGCTGTCCAAGGATGTCAGGGACAAGATTGTAGACCTACACAAAGCTGGACTAGGCTACCAAACTATCGCCAAGCAGCTTGGTGAGAAGGTGACAACAGTTGGTGCAATCATTTGCAAATGGAAAAAAACAACTGTCAGTCTCCCTAGGTCTGGTGCACCATGCAAGATCTCACCTTGTGGAGTGTCAATGATCATGAAAACAGTGAGGAATCATCCCAGAACTACACGTGAGGATCTTGTCAATGATCTCCAGGCAGCTGGGACCACAGTCACCAAGAAAACAATTGGTAACACACTACGCCGACAAGGACTGAAATCCAGCAGTGCCCGCAAGGTCCCTCTGCTCAAGAAATCACATCCAGGCCCCTCTAAAGTTTGCCACTGAACATCTGAATGATGCAGAGGAGGACTGGTTGAAAGTGTTGTAGTCAGATGAGTCCAAATCGAGCTCTTTGGCATCAACTCAACTTGCTGTGTTTGGAGGAGGAATGCTGCCTATGACTCCAAGAACACAATTCCAACTGTCAAACATGGTGGTGGAAACATTCTGCTTTGGGGGTGTTTTCTGCTAAGGGGACAGGACAACTGAACCGCATCAAAGGGACGATGGGCGGAGCAGGGGCGGACTGACAACTCATGGGGCCCCCAGGCAATAGGGAATCATGGGGCCCCTGTGTCCTTGCCCACACTCAAAGCACACCCAAAAAAGCCTATAAAAAAGGTACCAGGGTTATTTCATGCGGCCCCCGACTGACCCCGGGCCCTCGGGCAGTCCTCGAGTGCTTGAATGGTCAGTCCGCCCCTGGGGCGGAGCAATGTACCATCAAATCTTGGGTGAGAACCTTCTTCCCTCCGCCAGGGCATTGAAAATAGGTCGTGGATGGGTGTTCCAGCATGACAATGGCCCAAAACACAAGGCCAAGGGAACTAAGAAGTGACTCAAGAAGAAGCACATTAAGGTCCTGGAGTGGCCTAGCCAGTCTCCAGACCTTAATCTGATTGAAAATCTGTGGAGGGAGCTGAAATTTTGAGTTTCCAAATGTCAGCCACCAATCTTAATGACTTGAAGAGGATCTGCCTAGAGGAGTGGGCCAAAATCCCTCCTGAGATGTGTGCAAACCTGGTGGCCAACTACAGCAAACGTCTGATCTCTGTGATTGCCAACAAGGGATTTGCCACCAAGTACTAAGTCATGGTTTGTGAAGGGGATCAAATACTTATATTATTATATTATACAGTATTTATAAAGCGCCAATAGTTCGCTCAGCGCTGTACATTACAAAGGGGGACAGAACATGTGACAGAACAATACCAATACAATGTGATACATGAGGGGTTCGAGGGCCCTGCTCTTTCGAGCTTACAATCTAGGAGGGAGGGGATGGTGGTACAGGAAGAGATAGCTGTGGGGGATGGAGTGGTAGGAAGAGTGGAGGAGGTCGGCAAGTTAGCAGGGGGTGGGGTAGGCTTCCCTGAAGAGATGGGTTTTCAGGGTGCACCTAAAGGAGAGTAGGTGATAATCTGATGGGTTGGGGCAGGGAGTTCCAGAGCATGGGTGACACCCTGGAGAAGTCCTGGAGGCAGGCATGGGAGGAGGAGACCAGGGAACTAGAGAGAAGGAGGTCTTGTGAGGAGCGGAGTGTGCGTGCTGGGCGGTACTTGGATATTAGGTCAGTGATGTAGTTCGGGGCAGTATGGTGGACAGCTTTGTACGTCAGCGTTAGGATTTTGAATTTGATCCGTTGCGCAATCGGAAGCCAGTGGAGGGATTGGCAGAGGGGGGTGGCGGAGACAGAGCGGTTGGAAAGGTGAATGAGTCTGGCAGCCGTATTCAGGATGGACTGAAGCGGGGATAGCCAGCGGCGAGGCAGGCCAGTGAGGAGGGAGTTGCAGTAGTCGAGTCGTGATATGATGAGAGAGTGGATGAGCTGTTTAGTGGTTTCTGGGGTTAGGAACGTGCGGATTTTGGCGATGTTGCGGAGGTGGAGTCTGCACGAGTTTGTTAAAGATTGGACTTGGGGCTGGAAGGATAGGTTGGAGTCCAGAATGACACCCAGTACTCTGGCCTGCGGGGCGGGTTTGATGGTGGCGTTGTTGGATGTGATGGAGAAGTCAATGGGGGGTGGTGTCCAGGCTGGGGGGAAGACAAGAAACTCGGTTTTGGAGAGGTTCAATTTAAGGAAGTGGAGCGACATCCAGTCTGATATGTCGCTCAGTAGGTGTGTGATTCGGGCTGAGACCAAGGGGGTGAGGTGGGGGGTTGAGAGATAGATTTGTGTGTCGTCGGCATAGAGGTGGTAGTTGAAGCCGTGAGAGTGTATGAGTTGGCCAAGGGAGGAGGTATAGATGGAGAAGAGAAGGGGCCCAAGGACAGAGCCTTGAGGGACCCCAACAGAGAGGGGGAGTGAACATGCAAATCAGTGCATCATTTGTTAGACATGCATTTCTTTTGAATTTTTTGTTGCTATTCTGTCTCTCAGTGTTACAATACATCAACCATTCGATTTTTAGACTGATCATTTCTTTGTGAGTGGGCAAACATTCAAAATCAGCAGGGGATCAAATACACATTTCCTTCACTGTATGTCCGCAGTCTCTGGTCATCTACTGTAGTATGTCCGCAGTCTCTGGTCATCTCCTATACTATATCCACAGTCTCTGGTCATCTCCTGTACTGTGTCCGCAGTCTCTGGTCATCTCCTGCACTATGTCTGCAGTCTCTGGTGATCTCCTGTGCTATGGCCGCAGTCTCTGGTGATCTCCTGTACTATGTCCGCAGTCTCTGGTCATCTCCTGTACTGTGTCTGCAGTTTCTGGTAATTTCCTGTACTATATCCACAGTCTCTGGTCATCTCCTGTACTATGTCCGCAGTTTCTGGTCATCTTCTGTACTATGTCTGCAGTCTCTGGTCATCTCCTGTACTATGTCCACAGTCTCTGGTCATCTCCTGTAGTATGTCCGCAGTCTCTGGTCATCTCCTGTACTATATCCGCAGTCTCTGGTCATCTCCTGTACTACGCCCGCAGTCTCTGGTCATCTCCTGTACTATGTCCGCAGTCTCTAGTAATCTTCTGTACTATGTCCGCAGTCTCTGGTCATCTCCTGTACTATGTCCGCAGTCTCTGGTCATCTCCTGTACTATGTCCGCAGTCTCTGGTTATCTTGTGTAGTATGTACGCAGTCTCTGGTTATCTTGTGTAGAATGTCCGCAGTCTCTGGTCATCTCCTGTAGTATGTCCACAGTCTCTGGTCATCTCCTGTAGTATGTCCGCAGTCTCTGGTCATCTCCTGTACTATATTCTGTAAGTGACCACCTTAAATTATTACCAAAAATATGTATTTATTTTTAAGATAATTATTATCTTCTGAATATAGTATTATATGTATTGCTGCCACTTTCCCTCAGAAATCAAAAAATTTGTATCATAATGTTATCATTAAACATCAATTAACATTCATATATTGTGTCATTCTTTGTCTTCACCATTACTGCTGTAACAAAAAAATACAAAAATAAAAATTATAATAATAAAGTGACTATGACACAAAATTGTGACATTCCATATATCCCATGAAAATTATATCTTATAAAAAACTCAGAAAAAGTCCCGTGATATAGAAGAAATTAAAAGTCCAATGTTGAAATAAATTCAGAAAAAATTAAAGTCCAGTGTTGAAATAAATTCAAGTAATGAAAAAACATAAAAGTATTGAAACTTTGTGCTGCACCCACCATGCACCCCCACTCAGGTGTGCACTCACCAGAAATAGCCTTTTTTAAAGCATAATCAAGAGGATATCCATTACTTAGACCAGGAGGTTCCTCCAAGAATCACCCCTTTAAGAATGGTTGCCAGGATCATTGAAAAAATCTCCACTCCACCATAACATGGAAAGAGAAGAAAAAATATCCTCTCCAATAGTATATTACCCAAGGTAAATTTTTTATTTACTTTATTATTCCAAGTAATGCACTTACAACATTAAAAACATCAACAAGCCCAAATAATCGCTCTTAGTGTCACACAGATACTGTATGGTGCTCTCACCACCTCCCGAACTGTCGGACAGAATGCCGTCACGTCACTCCCGGTCACGGATCTGCGTCACTTCCAGTCTGCCGCACCATCAACCCTGACGCATTTCGTCATATCCTGACTTACTCATAGGGGGGACGGTGCGGTGATGTAATTGGTTGTCAGGACGCCGGCGGCTAGAAGGTTGTAATGGTGCGCAATGAAAATACGTGGCTTTGAGTAATGAAAAGTGAGCTTGTTCCACACGCTGGCTTGTATACAAGTTTTGGGCAATTTTTAGACATATTTCCAGGGCACCCCTGAAGAAACCTTAAGGCACCCCAGAGAAAGGCTTCTCCAGAGGTTGGTAAATGAGGTAAAGCTTCACATTGCAAAGAATACCCAATCATGTGCTAGGAAAAAAACCAGCATTTTTGTTTGCAAATGATTGGATGATGAAAGTCAGCAAAGCGTCTGCTCCTGTACTAAACTCTGGAGCAACA